GGACATTTTCAAACTTATACAAGGAACTAACAATGGTTCATTACATTAGCCCTTATATACCACCCCTGTAGTACTGATAGAGGTACTTGGCTTGATTGAGTACCTGAATTTACAGTTTACAATGCGAATGTGCCAATTTGAAAACCGGTGAGTGAACTAAATCGATTTGATCATTTAACAGGTTGAACCTGTTTATTCTTGTGAATTTTCAAGGATTCTAAGATATTGAGTTTGTAACCCTTCCTTGCATAGTGCAAAATTTCCGTATCGTTTAGATTCGGAAACATGTGGTTGCATGCCAAGGAGTGGTTTGAAAACGAATCATTCGAATCATTTTTGCCTAGTATGAAGGACCTTTCATGTTCACATACCGTTTCTGGAAATTTCGGCCACATTGTCCCACATAAACACTATTACACTCCGGACACTTAAGCTTATGAACTCCAGATTTCTCCAACTTTTCCACCTTATCTTTGGCATTGGAAAGGAAATGAGTGGCATGTGGTCTGAATACCACTTTCACATTGTTTTTTCTGAAGAAACTCGCAATTATCCCTGTTCTTTTTCAAAAATATGTTGAAGTTACCCAGTTCTTGATTTCTGGTTATTTGACCTGAGGGTATATTGATCTGTAAGTGTATCTGGATACTATCTCTGGATAGTATCTGCGTTGAAACCATTATTATGACCTATCTGTGTGATTATATCAATTTCCCTAGCTAGATTCTGAGCAGACGAAGGCAGTGAGAATGCTCTGTGCAACATTGAATTGTAGGCTGCTAATTTATGACTGTCTGGATGGAAAGAATCGCTTGGGATGGTGATGTACTTGTGTGTTCCACTCTAGCATTCTTCGGAGAAAGATTCAAATGAATTTGTTGGTTTCAAAACCGTCGACGTAGTTTGGAGCTATTGAAATTGGCTCTTTGCTTCGTACTCTAGTATGAAACATCAAAAAATTTGTTCAGTTCAAATCGAGATGATTCTGGTCAATTGAATACTGATTGTCCGTGTTGTCCTAATGATTGTTGCAATCATATCCAGTTAGTTCTATGAAAATCATTGGATAACATCTGGTGGAGACACTTTTGCAAGATTTTTCCAAACTCGAAGAAGATTATCACACGTTTTTTCATTATTTTGCTCAAGTTAGTCGACTTCTTCAAGTGAACAGATATTTTCCCACAGTTTTGATGATTGAAATATGATTGTGAAATGAATGAAAATCAAGAAAGGATCCAAACTCTTCAGTCGAGTGACTGCATGATTTTATTAAAATTTTGTAATCCAAAATATTGATAATAATCAGTATACTTTCATACTCACTATCAAATACATCACTTTTCTTTGAAGCTGCATGAAATATCATTTTATTCAAATTTCTGCAACTGCCACAATAACAGACAAATATTCTCGTTCCGAAACTGGAGGCTCCATTGAAACAAAAGGAACAAACATAGAGATAAACATTTCCGAATGCGGTTCGGGAATTTCCAACCTAGCGTTTGTAACATAATTTCCTGTATTCTGAATCCACCTCGAATTCATTCCATCAGAATTGTTTCAGATGAATACAATTTTCGAATTGATGGGATTTACTTTGAAGGGAACAACTTCATTGTCAACTACGATTATNATTGAAAATTCCATCATTGCAGGATATAGTTAATTTTGTAGGTTTATTGTCGTAGAAAATATTTATTACAAACATATATTGTTGAAAAATTTTTGGGAAAATAACTTTGATTTTTCCCCTCATCACTACTGTTTTCTGAAGAATCATCTCCTTCTGAAGAATCATCACTCCAATAAACGTCCGGATCAGGAGAAGTTTCTTCTTTATCTGAAAAAATTGGATATGAATTAATGTTATTCCTAGACAAATTCAAATTATTAAGAAATACAAACCGTCATTGTTGATATTTTGTCCGATATTTGAACAAGTTTTGATCACATCCAGAACAGTTTGTGGTATATAATCACCTTCACACCATTTAAATTCATCGGTCGTCTTTTATTATCCAACCGTGGGATCCAGGAAACAAAAATATGTTGGAGTGCAAAGATGAGCGTTTCGCCATTCATTCATTCATTCATTACAGACAGATCCGGTATCGACAAACTTTTGGACTAACTTGGCAACGTGCGAATAATTCACATTTATCCCGGGATGACCGTTATTGAAGAGGCGACCAGTAAGTCCAGCACAACTATTATGTTGATAATAAAGTTTAACAATTTCAACTCGTTCAGGAATGGAATAAACCATTTTTACAGTAAAGTTGAAATAATTTCAAAAGCAACCGAACTGNATTATTATAATTATTGTTAACCATTGATGAATTTTGTTTTTCAAAGGAAAAAGCATTAAAAGTTGGTGAGGTGTGTGAAGTTTTCTGGTTTGAAACAGTGTTCCAAGCTTCTGAGAAACAGTCTTTGCAATTCCAGCGACATGATTGTGCCAAGACATATTGGTGTCCATTTTAACCCACAACAAACTTATCGAAGAGGGAAGCGATGTTGATAGTGAAAGTATATGACAAATATCCATCAACGGCCACTCGCAGGGAACGTTTTTTCAGAAAGCTAGAGAGCCATGCACAAAAATGATCCGACAAACCATAGCATCAAAGTTTGGCCAGCAAACTCTCATGCCACACACCGTCAAAGGTTTCTCGATTGCGTTACTCCAAATATGGTTGACATATGATAGAAGGTTGCCTGTTGATCTTTGTCTCCGAGAGCCATATTGATGATCGCTCAAGATGTTGAAGCCTTCCAAATATTCAAGGATATGGTAGCTTACGGCTCCCTCCATGTTTTCTGATATCATTGATAGTAAAGCGATTGGTCTATAGTTATTTGAAAGATTTTTCTTGTCCTTTCTGAGAATAGGCTGAACGCGAGCGAACTTTAAACGAGAAGAGAAGCCGCTTTCTTGAAAGACAGGTTGAAAAGTCTTCAAAATACTGGTGCGAGTTCATTGTCGCACTTTTCGAGTACGATGACGGGCACTCCATCAGGACCAGACGCCTTATTGAGAATGAGCTGTTTCAAATTTCCTCTCACTAGAAGTTGTCGAAAAGAAATTTCCGGCATTGTGGATCATTATGTGGGAATAGTTTAACCCAACGAACCTTTCAATGAATACAATATTTTTGCATCATCTTTTTTTTTTTGTTTCAGAACCCCTACAAATGAGTACATTGGTCAGTGTGGCAGGAGCCCTTCTAGTGATTTTCCTGCTGTTCATTTGCGTCTGCGTATACGCAATTAGAGCAGAAAAATGCTGCTTTGCCCGTAAGTTATCCTAAAAACATATTTCACATTTTTAATTACCACTCTCATTTCAGTATTTAGCTTTTCAGTGGAAATTGTTTTTGTTTGAAAACAGTTTCAATCCATAGAAAAATTTTGAATAGCTTCAATAGAAAAAATTAATTCATTAAGATTTGTTAATTCTGGTCTTTCAATCAATTGCTATGTGGAACAGTGGTTCGAGTCCCGAAGTTCGATTTTAACTGCGTATCGTCCGACCCGTGCTAGGAATCGCACGCTAGGATGTAAGACCAGCTTAATCCTCAGCTAGCATAATGTATTTATTTGAGAAACTTCCACATGGAAACTGAATCACACGAAAAAAAATCTTCGAATAGTTTTTTCGTAAGTGACATTCCTTTCGTATGATTTAATGTTCATGTGGAGTAGTCGCTTCAAAAGTTTCCCACGTATTTTGATCAAACGTGGAGATGTAGAAAGCCATAACATTTTTCCCTACATTTTGAAATCCCAATAGAATTTTCTACATAGCAATCTAGTTTTGAATTCAATTTCACTCCCTCTAAACTATACACTCTTTTATCTACTCGTTTCAAGTTCTACAAACTCTTCGAGTGATACTTAGTTTCTACACTTTTCGTGTCATCATTAAAGTTCACCAAAAAATGTAAACTTTCACGTCTGTGGCTGGTGGTTAGAGCCACCAACCACAAAAAAGGAGGAATAATCAAAACGTCTCTGAACACAAGAGAAATGGTGGCCTCAGATAAACCGACAAATCAGCTGAAACCAATATTTGGCCATCAAGTAAAGTCTATACGCTTTTTTATCCATTCGTTTCGAATCCTACAAACTCTTTAAATGATACTCAGTTTCACGACCTTCTATGTCGTTGTTCAAGTTCACCAAAGGATGTAAACTTGCACGTCTGTGGCTGGTGGTTAGAGCAACCAGCCACAACAAAAGAGAAGAATAATCAAAACGTTGGTTGAGAGAGCACGACGTATTTCTGAATTTGAGTCTTCATGAGGAACTCAAGCACCTAAAAAATGTATTCAAAGGTTCACATTTTCAAAAACATGCAGTAACTCAAAAACGATTATAGATACGAGAACGATATGCGTTCTTCACCATTATGTTCGTCACAAAATTCGATCCTCAGACACAGCCGTCAGTTTTCATCTATCTGGTTTGAACACAAGAGTTTTCTTTAAAAGTGTCTAATTTGGCCCACTCTGTACTATTATACTTAAGAGTATTCTATATCAGTCTTGCTGTATAACTGATCGTCAAACCACGTATTCATGTGATTCCTTACCAAAATGAAACACCAGCTTCAATTAGCCTTCTTAAATTTGATTATTTTCGCTCTACTGCGGTGTTCCAACTTAGAACGTGCATCGAATAAACTATCGGGTATTAAAGATGTGGAATATAACGAGCAACTTCTTTCATTAGTGTTGAACGCCACTTAGAAAATCATAACATCCAAAGAGTGGGTTTCTGATAACAATTTAGTATTCTCCAAATCTGATGGTCGAAAGAACCACATCAGGCTTGTATAAGCCAGAGGTGAGAAATGAATAGTTCCAATGAGTTCGGTACTTTTCATTTTCAACAACGGATTCATTATCCCCGGGAGCGTAGGACAACATCGGTATCTCCTCAATACCGTAAAGTATCATATATAGTAATAAAGCACTCTTAGGCGGGGTTATGTCGATAGATATAGGCCTGAGACGTGTCAGGAACCTCCATATTCATCACGCGATTGCTGTAGACTGAGGTTCCGTAGCAGCCTCTTGAAAACTAGGCCACCAAACGCGGACTGCGATTCCAAGAATTGCATTTGATACCCTGTGGAGAATCATACATCGGAGATACTAAGAGGCCATTGAAAGTTTGCATTGCTGAGCACAAGAAACACACACAGCGAGGAGAAACCAGCAATCAGGAATAGCAGAGCATGTTTGGACTCATCAACATAACATCAAGTGGGCTCAAGCTGAAATCATCCACAAGAAGGAACACTAGTTTTGCCAAGCTAGCGTCGAGATACGTAACATATGGAAATATGAAGCGGAAAGAGGGAAGAGGGGATAGGTGAAAGCACTCGAATCACCTATAAATAGTCAGATCTCGGAGGAATAAGTCCAGTTGTCACCCGAAGATGATTGTGGATACTAACAATCGAAATTTCGTGACGTAACTTGGTTTGGAATCTTTTAATTTCTAGTTTCAGTTCTTGCTAATAAGATTTTTTTAATTTTCAGCTTGTATTAACTTTCCAATTTTTTTATTTTTTGGTTGTTGCTTGAAACAATCAACTAATCTTTCGATTGAAGTTTGTTAGCCTGTGAATCAAACACTCATTTTGGCTTATATTTTTTTACACCTTTCCATTATACGCAGTACCTGGTGTCCCGGGCAGGGTCAGGCAAACACAGGTATTCGTACTTCTTATTCCATAGATACTATAAAATTTCAGGGTGCATCAAACAATTCATGTAACATGCGTCTCTGGCTCTCCGACTATTATAGTTGTCTGGGTCACAAGATCCTTTTTTTGGAACTTCTGTACAAGGGCACCGAAAATTAAGATCCAGGGCTCACTCGATTCGGAATGACCTCTAGCAACTTTTTGAAAAATTTCAAGAGGGGCACGAAACAATTCAGTAAAAAAAGAGTTTTGATTTTCTCCAGGTATCTCGGAAAACATTAAAGATGTCCGAAATTTCAATGAAAATCCTCAAAGAGGAGGAAATTTCCTGAAAAAAAATTCCCACGTCTTGGCACTCTATCAACAATATTTATGATTTTGATTTAGAAACGAAATAGCGCTAAAACAGTGCGTTGACCGACACGGACCTCTGTACAGTAAACATTATTTTAACCCATTAAATATCATTATAATAAAAACAAATTAGCAGACCTTCTAGACATTTGAATTGATGAAAATCCATATTTTCCCGAGAATATTTCATTAGATATAATTTGGTTAATTAACTAATTTTTATAAGTTTTAAATTTACATAAAAACCTTGATAATTTTTAAACT